ACTAAACAGTGCGTGAGAGGAAACCGAGTAGGGAGATGACAGCAGTGCTACTGGACCCCAGGGAAAGCATATTCTCTTCACCTCTCTAAATTTAAATTTAAATGAAAGAGTAATTACTTGTGAGTGAGTGTGTGTGTTTGTGAGTATGTCTGTGAGTGTGTGTCTGTCGGAGTGTTAGTCTGAGTGTATGTCTCTGTGTCTGTCTGTGAGTGAGTCTGAGTTGGTCAGTAAGTGTGTGTGTTCCCTCCAATCACATGGGAAAGGGTTTTGTTTGTTTTTTTACTCACCTTTTTTCCACACTGTGGCTGGCCCCACCTCCATGGCTGAGATTATCAATCTTGACGATCTCAGCCAATCCAATGCTTCCTCATAGCAAAGCATTGGGATACTATTGCGCATGCACGGCAAAATGCCACTGCGACAATTTACCTTCTCATAGAGATGCATTGAATCAATGCATCTGTATAGGGAACATTAACGTAAGGGCTGCACAGTGTGAAGCACTGACCCAGGAAGCACCTCTAGAGGCCGTCTGAGTGACTGTCGCTAGAGGTGTCACCAGGCAGCAATGTAAACACTGCTTTTTGTCTGAAAAGTCAGTGTTTACATTTAAAAGCGTTCAGGGTCAGGATATAGACTTCAGAGCAACTACATTAAGTTGTAGTGGTTCTGGTGATTATAGTGTCCCTTTAAGAATTGTGTTTTTGACGTTGATTTCTCTTTTCTAGCTGGCTGCTAGATTCCAAACTAATTTGTAAAACACACACACACACGTAATCTTATAAATTATTATGGTTATAATATATATATATATATATATATATATATACACACACATATACATATACACACAAACATCAGTATGATACACATATGTTAATAGACATATGCATACATAATACACATTTGGAGATTACACACATATATAAATGTAACAAGGGTTTTACATTTTTCAAAGGGTTATTCACTAAATTTCTCATTTTAGAAAGTGAAAATCTAAATTGCGTAATTTAGACCAAAATAGCGGATTTGAAAAATCCAAACTTCGCCATAGTGACAGCTTGAATATTATAGCCTAATTTTTTACATTTATTCACAAAAATTATTAGTTTAGTCGATAACCCTGCCCTTCTCTCAGTCTTTCATTCCCTGGTATCAAACTATATCCAACGCAGAGTGCACTCATAGGATTGAGGACTAAACAAATTAAGATTAATTTAAATTAGACATGCAGCAGCTATCAGTCAATGACGATTCAAGTTTGGGATGAAACGTTGGGTAAATAATTTTCAATCCTTTGTGTTTTTCCACATGTATATCTGTCACAGTTGGCACAATTAATGTTAGGGCTGGTGTAAAAAAATTCCAGGGCTGCTTTTTATTCCCAGTCCGGCCCTGATCAGTGTTCCCCGTCCCTTTGTTTACTATTTGGTCCCTTTCTTAGTTCATCTTTGTTGTGTCTTCGTTTCTCCTATCCTTGCTCTAGACCTTTTTTCTGTTTCGTTTAATTTGCCAGTCTTTCGTTGTTGGATTTCCTTGCAGTCATGATTTAACTCTTATTATTAATTATTTGTTTCCTATATATATATATGTATTATTAATTTGTTATGTTGATCAGTTGCTTAAATATATTTCTTATTTATATTAATATTTCTTTGTGATTTCAATCTAGTTTATATATGATTACTTGGTTTACATGTTGCGTCATTATTTTCGAACTAGAGTCTAACCTATGACACATTGCTGACGGTTGTTGCGCTGCTCGAAAGTGATTCCAGATGTTCCAGCTATTTGTTGTTTATTGTATTCTAGATTTGTTGATGTCGTTTTAAGAAAGAGGAGGCGCTTAGGTCACTATGCCTCATATACACCTTGCTACAATTTGATTTGTTCTTTATCCTATGTGTGTTTCTTTGCTGCTGTGGAGCTAGTAAAGAGAGTTTAATGCAAAATACTCATCTCCTGTTTTAACATTAAGATTATTAGTACACTACAGCAAGCATAATCTTCAATTTGTTTTCATAATTTGTTATGAAAATAGGGCCTACTTTAAGAGTATGCACATTGTCACTTCATCAATAGCTGTTACAATGCGTTTGTTTTTCCATAGTCTATTTAAAATGCTCCATCATATAACCCCTTCACTACAAGCTGGAAAACAATTAACCTGAGCAGATGAGATGATGCAAAATGCTTGGCATTTTAATGTGCTCCCCTAATCACAGTGACAGAAAAGAAAAGTACAGAGACGGCATCCTAGGAGATGAGAAAATACTGATATTTCAAAAAATAAAATGTTTTGTAATGTTGTTATCGTACCTGAGATGCTGCCTGTTTCCATGGTAACAATATTATTCCACATATGCGTACCACACAGCTATAGTATTATTTTAACACCTATGAAGCTGTTTTTCTCCTATACTATTCTTACTCATACCCACAAATGTTTCTGCTTTGGCTATATTGTCTATCCTTGGTCCCACCATCAATTTCCTAGCCCCCCTTTTCCTCTGTCCTGTCACACTGTTCTTCCTCCTCCGGTGCTTCGGTGACTCAGCCAGAGGTGATAAAAAAGCCATATGACAGTTTCCTTGGCAACGTGTAAGTACGGGTGTCATCTGCTCGAACGTGGTAGTCTCTTTCCCTTTTCTGCTATGAAATATGGCAGTGACCTTACTTTCTGAATGAAGTCCGAGCAGATAGGACAAGAGCATTTGCTTTTATGTGAAGTACTATTTTTCAACATCAAGTCAGTTTTCAGTTCAGCCCCACTTAGGTAATGTGGCCCTTCAGTCACATCTAATTTTGCTGGGTACATCTTATTTTGACAGTTGTGTTGGAGGAGCCAACATTTTCTTTTCTTGGAGCCCTTAGAATGCAAGAGAGAGAACAGGGAAGGATGCATCGTTTTAAAAATGTTCTTACTTTCCTTTATATATATATACACTTTCCTTTATATTTATACAGGGAGTGCAGAATTATTAGGCAAGTTGTATTTTTGAGGATTAATTTTATTATTGAACAACAACCATGTTCTCAATGAACCCAAAAAACTCATTAATATCAAAGCTGAATATTTTTGGAAGTAGTTTTTAGTTTGTTTTTAGTTATAGCTATGTTAGGGGGATATCTGTGTGTGCAGGTGACTATTACTGTGCATAATTATTAGGCAACTTAACAAAAAACAAATATATACCCATTTCAATTATTTATTATTACCAGTGAAACCAATATAACATCTCAACATTCACAAATATACATTTCTGACATTCAAAAACAAAACAAAAACAAATCAGTGACCAATATAGCCACCTTTCTTTGCAAGGACACTCAAAAGCCTGCCATCCATGGATTCTGTCAGTGTTTTGATCTGTTCACCATCAACATTGCGTGCAGCAGCAACCACAGCCTCCCAGACACTGTTCAGAGAGGTGTACTGTTTTCCCTCCTTGTAAATCTCACATTTGATGATGGACCACAGGTTCTCAATGGGGTTCAGATCAGGTGAACAAGGAGGCCATGTCATAAGATTTTCTTCTTTTATACCCTTTCTTGCCAGCCACGCTGTGGAGTACTTGGACGCGTGTGATGGAGCATTGTCCTGCATGAAAATCATGTTTTTCTTGAAGGATGCAGACTTCTTCCTGTACCACTGCTTGAAGAAGGTGTCTTCCAGGAACTGGCAGTAGGACTGGGAGTTGAGCTTGACTCCATCCTCAACCCGAAAAGGCCCCACAAGCTCATCTTTGATGATACCAGCCCAAACCAGTACTCCACCTCCACCTTGCTGGCGTCTGAGTCGGACTGGAGCTCTCTGACCTTTACCAATCCAGCCACGGGCCCATCCATCTGGCCCATCAAGACTCACTCTCATTTCATCAGTCCATAAAACCTTAGAAAAATCAGTCTTGAGATATTTCTTGGCCCAGTCTTGACGTTTCAGCTTGTGTGTCTTGTTCAGTGGTGGTCGTCTTTCAGCCTTTCTTACCTTGGCCATGTCTCTGAGTATTGCACACCTTGTGCTTTTGGGCACTCCAGTGATGTTGCAGCTCTGAAATATGGCCAAACTGGTGGCAAGTGGCATCGTGGCAGCTGCACGCTTGACTTTTCTCAGTTCATGGGCAGTTATTTTGCGCCTTGGTTTTTCCACACGCTTCTTGCGACCCTGTTGACTATTTTGAATGAAACGCTTGATTGTTCGATGATCACGCTTCAGAAGCTTTGCAATTTTAAGAGTGCTGCATCCCTCTGCAAGATATCTCACTATTTTTGACTTTTCTGAGCCTGTCAAGTCCTTCTTTTGACCCATTTTGCCAAAGGAAAGGAAGTTGCCTAATAATTATGCACACCTGATATAGGGTGTTGATGTCATTAGACCACACCCCTTCTCATTACAGAGATGCACATCACCTAATATGCTTAATTGGTAGTAGGCTTTCGAGCCTATACAGCTTGGAGTAAGACAACATGCATAAAGAGGATGATGTGGTCAAAATACTAATTTGCCTAATAATTCTGCACTCCCTGTATATATATATATATAGCTACTATGTTAAACACAAATGCACACACCAGGCAAGCCATAAGACTTGCTATTACCACAGAAATCTCACTTTAACAGTGCTCTCACTACTGCAAGGGATTCTGGGTAGGAGTATGCAAATGAGTTCAACAAAGAACCACATTTTTGCCTCATAATTATATAAAGTGGAGTTATGAGGCAAAAATTGGGTTCTTTGTTAAGCTAATTTGCATATGCCTACCCAGAATCCCTTGCAGTAGGGAGAGCACTGTTAAAGTGAGATTTCTGTGGTAAAAGCAAGTCTTATGGCTTGCCTGGTGTTTGTATTTGTGTTTAACATTGCATTAACTATCCACTTATTTCAGGTGGAAGGGATTTTCATCCACAATTTTTCCCCTCCACAACTTATTTGGTATGTGTCCATATATAGATATATATCTCTCTCTATCTCTCTATCTGTAGAAAACAGATGTCTGTTTTTTACATCTACATCACTGGACTAATACGGCTACAATCTCTATTTGTTTCTCTCTCTGTCTCTCTCTCTCTATATATAGATAGATATAGATATATATATATAGAGAGAGAGAGGGATATATGTATATAAAGAGAGAGAGAGATTATAGCCGTATTAGTCCAGTGATGTAGATGTAAAAAACACATATATATATATATATATATATATGTCCAGAAGTGTGCAGTTCTAGGAACAGCTAAGATACTGCGCAGAACCCTCAAACTCCCAGGCCTCTGGTAGAGGACCCGAGAATGAACAATAAAATCTATATATATATATATATTCTTTTATCTAAGTAAATAACGGCATTAGTGCCTCTGATATCATCTTGGCTCCATCAAATGGCCCTAAAGAAGCACTCATTTAACATATCAGGACAAGAAAGGTTATTAAAGAAGCAGTTAAAAGGAGAGCATTGGAGGTACATATCTACTAACTACCTTTCACTATACTACCAGCAGTGCTAAACCACATTGTCCCTTTGGGATACTAGGACACACTCAACTGCTATAATGCCACGAATATTGTTAGTACAAAATAACCCAATTAAGAATAAGGATAAGAATAGATGTTTATGCACCCCATGGAAGCAATCCAATTATTCCCCTCTGCTAATTCAACAATTGTTCTGCTCACAACATACATCCCTTCTGTACAATAACCATTCTACAAGAGAATATGTACTGTTTATGATGCAGAAAACCAAGGGCTATAAGGAGTTAAACATGACACCTAATATAGGTCCTAGTTAATTTATCCTGGATATGATACTGCTGCTTATCACTGAATTAGGCACTTCTTTGCACTCCCTACTAACCCGTGCACCCTAATTTTCCTGTCTTCACACACTCTGCCACCTTCAAACAAGCTTCTACAGATCTTTAAAGCTGGTGAATGTGTGTGTTTTATTTCTACGCTAAGCATTCTTATCACAGCGTGCCCGTGAGATGCATGGTGGCATGTAATTAATTAACAGAGGGAGGGATAAGAAGAAAATTTTCACAAGATATTAGAAATACAGTCATTTAACTTCCCCCAGGCTGCAGCACATTCCCCAACTTCTCCTATTAGATTATTTCTCTGTGGTGGGTGATGTGAGGAGGAGAGAGAAAGAAAAGGAGAGAGAAAGGAAACCAGGGATGTGAGAGAAACAGCAAAAAGAGAGGAGAGAGACACAAGCTTAACTCAGTGGAAGATTAAAAAGGAAGACCCCCAGCCAGAGGATTACGACTCACATAATGCTCTGACATCCTTAAGGCAATAAAACCACTCACTTTGCTCAGCTCTCCTTAATAATAAGGAGTTATAAGTAAATAAGCGGATACTCTCTACTTTTGACATTTCTTTTTTTGTATATAGTTATTTAAGGCACTTGTATGTACTTTTAGTGGAAGCACATTAGCTAGAAAAACAACAAACAATGTAAACTGAAATCTCATTGTGTAGAGAATTAAAAGGGATATAAAATGAATGTTCAATTCCAAAAAAAGAATTGCTTAACATTAGCAATAATTGAAAACTAATTAACGATACAAAGAGCACTGTTGAATAAAATAAAACATTGATCAAGTTTGAGAAAAGCAAAGAATCTCTATTGTCAATTCCCTATTCATTTTTATTGCCTTCAATTAGAGTCCTGGGCATATGTGTTAGACCGTTGTTGGAAAACAATTAACCGTGAAACAATATACGGCATAGCTGCATACAGCAGAACGATAACAGATTATAAGGCCTTGGAGCAAGATGTTGTAGTTTTCTTTTTTTTCAGTTTGCAAATTATATTGAGAGTTTATTCCTTGCCTTTTTCATTGGATAGTGGAGCCTATATTTAATTTCTCCTCCGGCTATAAAGCCTTAGAAAAATCCAAAACAATCTTTTATTGTGAGTTTAGTAAACATTATTTGTTGTGGTAGGGGACATTAACTGTTATACATAAAATGATAGAAAAGTAAGATGTTTGTGGTGTGCCGAAACTAACAGTTAAGCCTTTCGAAAAAACAGCCCACCATAAAAAAACAGTTTAAAAGGGGAGAGGTGGGTGAGGAAACCAACGCAAAGCGATGGCCTAAAAAATGAGGGGCACCAGGCTGCCGCCTTATCAAATGTCATGACATGCATCGTAAAGGGGTATTCCAGTCTGGAGGTGACTTCCCTTCCCATTTTAATTGCAAAATATAGGTAATAAATATAAAGTCTGGAAGTCCAAAAAAACTCTTTGCTATTTACTATGATATGGCCACTTCCGCTATTTCTAGATGAAGCGCTGAATTCGCACAATGTAAGGAAAACATATGCCATAAGTAACACATTATAACCTCAAAGAGCAAAACATCTTGACTGTTTAAGGACATTATGCCACAATTTTATAGAAAAAATATATATATCAACACGGATGGGGCGGGTGAGTTCCAATATTTACTGAAGAAAGCAGGCTCGGGTTGTCATCCCTCCTTAATGTGTGGCTGGTGAGAGATTTAAAAAAAAAAAAAAAAAAGTGATGTTGTGCTCCACAGATTAAATTGGGGGGCATGGCCAGTAACATTTAGTTATTTCACTCTATGTTTGCGATCTAGAGAGAAATAATAGGCAAGGACAGTGCCTGGCAAACATTTCCTAACCCTTTCTCCACCCCTGACAATTGGGGTGAAGGTAAGTTTCCATTACAATAATAACAGGACCAGGAGTGTTATATTAATTTACAAGGATATATTCATTATGTATGAGAGACAGGGCCGGACTGGCCCAGCGGGATACCGGGAAATTTCCCAGTGGGCCGCGGCATCTGGGGGGCCGGAGAGAGAGAGAGGGAGCCCTGCTCCCTTTATTTTAATAATATCGTGGCCACCGGCAGCATGTCGGTCCTGCCGGGTGGTCGGTCCGGCGGCACACTCTGAGGTGATTACTCACCTTGCGGCCGGCGGCCCCATCAGTATCAGCTGTCAGTATCAGTGAGTGTGCCGGGCGGCCGCCTAAGCGATCCAGCAGCACACTCACTGATACAGACAGCCATGCGGCTGTCAGCACAGGAGGACTGAGGGAGGGGGCGGAGCTAACTACCATGCTCCCTCACGGTTCCCAGAATTCCCAGCATCTACACATCACAGAGTAGTGATTACTGTATGATGTGTAAATGCTGGGAATTATGGGAACCGCAAGGGAGCATGGTAGCTAGCTCTGTCCTCTCACTCAGACCTCCTGAGACAAGGTCAGAAGGGACACAGAAGGGAGGGGAGACAAAAAGAGGGGAAGGGGGGGAAGACAAATAGAGGGGAAGAGACAAATAGAGGGGAAAATGGAGGGGGACAAATAGAGGGGAATGGGGGGAGACAAATAGAGGAAGGGGAGAAATAAAGGGGAATGGGGAGACAAAGAGGAGAATGGGGGAGACAAATAGAGGGGAAGGGGGGGAAAGATGGGAATGGGGGAAAAAAGAGGGGAAATAGAGGGGAATCAGGGGAGACAAATAGATGGGAAGGGGGGAGACAAATAGAGGGGAATGGGGGGAGACAAGTCCCCTACTGGCTGGTGCTGGTATTGCAGCGTAATCTCTGTTTATACTGAGAAAAATATTTGCATTTGTATTGCCGGTATTAGTGCAATACCGGCACGACCAGGCAGCCCCAAAAAGCATTAAATACCAGCCAGGTGGCAACCCTAAGAGTAATGTGTAAAAAAAACATTTTTTTTTTCTTCAAAATCAATGGGCCTATTCTGCAGCTCCATCAACCCCTATGTTAATCCGGCCCTGGTCACGGAAGTGGCACAGTGCAAGAGCGTGATCCGGAGGCGGTCGGCAAAGAAGGATGTGTATACCACAGAGAGATGGCAAAGATAGTTAATACTTGGACATGAGTCTCTAGTGCACAAGAGTTTATATTGTTTAAACGTAAGAGTTTTAAATAGTTGATAAACATTTGTTACACAATATTACACTATCAGGAATTTCCTTTTTCGATCTCTCTTTCTTTTTATGCACAGTGGAGTTCCTTGTAGAGTGAAGATATTGATCTGTAGGAGTTAACCTCTCCTTTTCAGACTTCAAACACAGAGCCGTTTATTATAGGCTCTGGTCCAAGTGAGATGGCTACCACAGGGATTTATTCACTAAGGGGTTATTTTATTGTTTTGTCAAAATCTTTTTTGGATTTTCTGGAGTTTCACTATACTAGATTTTTTTCTTTTTAGGTTCAAGGATGTAGCATGGGGAAATATTTAAAATGTTTTGACGTAATGTTTTAACGTACACTATAGTAAACGCATATTTCCCCAATGAAAACCAAATAAAATACATACATACTCTAATGAACGAAGTATTGAAGCTTCAATCTGGTATTACAATAATTTGCAGAGATTTTAACCATATCTTGGATACCAATTTAAATTCTACTACCCTTTTTTCTCGTAAAAGGAAAACCTCCCTACATAAAGCGTGTAATACTTTTAACAAGATACTAACATCTTATGGCTTATATGATATTTGGAGGACGTTTCATCCCAGTACTAGAGAATATACACACTACTCTCAAGTCCATAATACTCATTCTCGTATAGATGGATTTTTAACATACAGCTCACACCTACCTCAGATCAAGACTTCTGAGATCGCTTCATCCACGCAGTCTGACCATAACCCTGTAATACTTACTATGAGCGATAAATATAATTACACTAATAAAAGACCTTGGAGACTAAATGAAGAATTATTAAATAACTTGGAATTTACAGAAGAAATCCAACAAGAACTACAGTAATATTTTGATCTGAACAATACTGGAGATATAAGCCCAACAACACTCTGGCTAGTACATAAATCCGTAATCCGAGGACTTTTGATAAGCATAGCATCGTATCTTAACTTGCTTAAAAAAATGTATGATCTCCACAAACAAAATCAGATAAAGCCATCCATACAATTGCAAAACAATATACTACAAACACAAAATGATATTACTAAAATTCACATACGACAAGCTACCTTTCCGTTGAAGAAGCTTAAAGCTACATCAGACTCTGGGTAATGGGTAATTACTGGGTAATAAAGCTACGAAAATATTAGCACAGAAAATAAGAAAAAAATCAATCGCAATCAAGAATACCATATTTGATCTCACAATCAGGACAAAAGATTATTCATCCTG